TTCCTTGAGTAATTGTCTTAGTTTTATTTACCCTTTGAGATTTTATTTGAAGCTACGAAACCCAACGTAACAACGTGTTCTTTATCATGAACGCGCTTCGCTATATTAATATACACGTGACAAGAATTTAGAATTATTATTGGTTTGATTTGGTGTAACATTTTATGTAGATCACAAATATTAAACCAATTAAAACAAACTTCCATCATGCTTAGCTGTATGCACTGTATGCTGGTATGCACTGTTCGATTTATTTTTGCCATGCCTTCTGTAACACTAAACTGCTTGGTTTTTGGAGATGATCCTTATATAAAAAATTTCTCGATTGAAATTAACACTAGTAAGAATGTTAATACTCTTAAGAAAGCTATCAATGATGACCTTAAAAGTTGCGTGGCGACAAAGGAACTTAAACTGTTCAAAGTCTATATTCTTCATGGAAAAACCAGAGACGAGAATGTCGTTTCGATACTTAAACTTGGTGATTTTAGCATTGGTCTGGAAATGGATAACTTACAAAAAATTAGTGATTTTTTTAGTTTGCAACCAGTCGACACAAACTTACATATTCTCGTGCAACTCCTACTGTTGCTTAATTTTTTTCGACTTCTCTGTCATATTCTCCAATAATACCGAATACTTACTTATTCCTGTGCTTTTCTTTCCTGCTTTCTATCGTCAAACCCGCCCAAACACATTCGCGTTATCGAAGAGCAACCCGTTCCTGGTAAATTAGTCGTAATAAATTTGGTCAACGCGTCTTGGCTTAAATCTTGATAATTGAGTTTCATATCATTTCATTTCCAACCAATAGTGCTCAGTAAAAAAAGAAAAGCTTTGGAAGAAGGTAGAATGTACAAAATGACCTTTGCATTGCTTATGTCTTTCATTGTCTAATTTTCAAATATTTTTGTTTATTCAGTGAAGAAGACATGGAAGGTCAACAGCACATTACGAGAAACTGACTGGCCTAATCATTATTTTGTGGATCCAGTAGCAGAAGGAAAACAACGACAAGAACAGGATTCACTTTTTGAGAAAATTGAAAAACGTTCTTTCATAATGTTATATGGAACACGGGCATCTGGAAAGTCTACACGCGCAATGAGAACAATATCGGTATTGGAAAATAGTGGATATGTGTGTAACTAGTAAGTTCAGTTTCTTGCTTGCTAGATAAACTCTTTGTACAGTTCTTAACTTGCCATTTATCTGTTCTTTTACGGTTGTCTGAATTAGCGTGACTTTTGAGCATATTGTCAAAGATGTCGAAGGCTTCTGGAATTCACTTTGCACAAATATCTCTCTTTATAAACGTTCTAGTGGATACTTGGATCCTGTGCAGATATAAATCGTGTTGATGATTTCCTAAGTTACTTTAGCATAGTGGGCTGGAAAAGAGCCAGAAAAGATCCTAATAAACATATTGTTCTTTTTTTTGATGAGTTCGATAGAATATACCAAATGGATGACGGCCTTCTATCCGATTTCCTGTCAACTCTTCGCGCCATCAGGAATAATATTGAATCCTACGTTATTCAGGCCATCGTTGTAATTGGTACATTCAGCATCCTGCATCTAGACTCTAGAACTTCAAACACAGATTTAACTTCACCCTTCAACATTAAGGACTCGATCCGTAATCCAAATTTTGACCTGGAACAAGTACAAGAGGTGTTTAGAGATTTGAAGATAATAATAAAATGCAATTTGAACAGGCAATCATTGATGACATCTTTGAACAAACAACTGGGTATGTGAATATAGTCAAAATATAAAACTAGTAATAACCTTTACCAATAACTAATTATATTATAGCATGCGGGCCTTGTTTCTATTTGTGGACGTGCAATTGAAGATAATCTGCTCAGAAAGCTAAATAAACGACTCTTAACCTATAAAACTTGGGAATGCTACAAAGTCAGTTCTTTAATGGATGCGATGGTCGATTACCAAACATTCCGAAATTTGGTCAATTCTCTCAAGGGTCCTGAAAATAAGGATGCGTTGAATTTTTTTCGGAATAATTTTCTAGTAGATTTTGGACATGAAGTAAAAGTCACTATTGACATAAATAGTGCAGAAAGCCTTGCTTCTGAAGGGGTTCTGGTACCTGCTGAAGAGGCTGGAGCATTCAAACTTTCTTCTCCTTTGATTCGCTGGTTGATCCTTCAGCGTGTAATCCCCATTGTCTTTCCATCCTGCCCGAGGAACGATGTCCCTTTCTTCAAAGATTCTAAAGTATTAGATACTTTAGTTACCTTAAAGCTTGCTACTAAATCACTTGACAAGGATATTATTAGTCTTGCGCGTATTCGTTCATACAAGATTGCTAAAGTGTGGGTCAATGGTGAATCAAATCAACCCGTTCCTAGAGAAAGTGTTTACGACGCAGAACTATGCCGAGTCTTGCGGAATTGGCCATGCCCATCAATGTTTCAGATTACAGGTCAATGGCATCTTGTATACAATAAAAGTAGTAAACGTCAACATAGATATAGCGACATAGTCATAGATACACCTTATGGCCAAAAAATCGTTCTTGAACTCTTAGCGACGGCAAGTAATGACGATCTTATTGAACATTTTCAACGGGCTCTTGAATATGCAAATCTACTTTCTGCGGATGAAACTTGGATTGTTCATTTAACTTGTGAAGATGAATATGTTAAACGACCTCTGTGGCCATCTGATTCTCAATTAAAGATGAAGCTTCATGTTGCTCACTTTTACCATAATTTTTTATTTACGAATATTAATTTAATCGCAGGCTGGTGGAATATACGTAAAAACAAAATGTCTACTTATAGGCATTCTGCTGAAATATGATGCTAGGTGTTACTTAGAATCATCAAAATTATTTGAAAAAAAGAAAAATCATTTGAAAATCATTTGGAAAAGGAGCAAATCTATTTCTATATATTACTGTTATGTAGGTATAAAGTATTAGTTCATTGCGATATGTATTTCAAGGATTTTTTTTTTATTGCTTTACAAAATAATAATAATAATATACAAGACGAAAAATAATGTGTAATGGTCGTTAGACATTTTAAGCTGTGAAAAAAGGGCGGGTAGAGCCTGAAAGATCTATAGGTAAAAATAGCACGGATTAATTCTTTTCTCCGTCATCTATTCCGCCTATTCATGACCAGAGTCTAAGCCACTTTAAGATTCAAGTAGGCAAATCTTTTTTCTCGTTAATAGCGGATTCTATGGATCCGATTATGTAATTGCCAAAATCTTAGTTTGATAACTATTACTGCGCCATATGATTGATACATTTTTTTGCGCAATTTTGACGATCACGGTGCTCTTGCATGTGTATTTCAAACATATATTAATATATATCCCGATGTATTTTTAAAATGATTCAAAATTTTTCTTTGTCATCAAATTAAAATGCAAATAAAAAAAAATTTCTTAAGTATATGTAATATATATATAAACCTACTATAAAAACTTTATTATATTTATAAATCTTTACATGTCTCCATTTAATACGACATGGGGAACGTATTGATATTCTATTAACGATAAATTCTTCTCTAAATTAACTTCCATACCACTATTATTATTATGATTATTATTGTTGTTGTTGTTGTTGTTGTTGTTGTTGTTGTTGCTGTTGCTAATACCATCATCTTCAATGTCATTTATCATAATCCAGTTATCTTTGACGGGTTTAATCTCTGCATTGATGTTTTGATCAGCCACTATTCTCATAAATCCACGATACATTTCCACTCTTGCATTATGAATGATCACCATGGCATTCGGTTGTAATATATTGATTTGACCTAAAATAATGAAATGAAAATTTCTCTTTAAATGTGATGTTTTAAAATGGTGAAAATTTTATTTGAATTCTACAAAACCATCTTGATACCGTTTATTGCTTTCATGATTATACACCCTGTCGAATCCCCAATTAGAATTTCCGCCACTTTCGTTTTATTCCAAGCTAGAGATTAAGAATTTAGAATTGAAAATTTGGAGAATTAAGAAATTTGTTTCATATTCAAACAAAAAAAATTATAATATATCAATTCAAGTTAGTTTATCTTTGACACTTAACTACTATAATCATCAACTTCTCCTAATATGATTTGTGCAATCACTTTTACTTTTAAATTAACTTGATGTTGATCCGGTTTTAATTCTTCCACCGGAGTATCTGTATTCAATGAAGTCGTGAAAAAAAAAAAAAAAATCAGAAAAAATAAAAAAAAAAAGAGAAAGCATGAATTGTAACTTTTTTTATTACGAACAGGATATCGGGGACATTTTGAAAATTGTATTACAAAAAATTGTGAGAAAGGTCTTAATGTTTTAAAAATGTTCTCAATTATGAAAATTGACAAAGGAAAAGGACCTATAAAGGCGAAACGAAAAGTTCCTACTCCATTTATATTTGCGCGTATATGCATGCAGGCTGTCGATCTACCATTGTATAAAAAAGATCTGATAACTGACTTGATCTTCCGATCTCTAAAAATGTTTTTGATAAATGTTGCTAGGACTTTAATTAGGAGTCCTTTTAGTAGTTCCCTATTGAAAAATAGTACTAATAATGCCTTGGCGGATGGTGTAAAGATATCTCTTCCCGTGGGGTCAATGATAAAATCTTTCCACGCTAGTGCTTTCACACCTTCTGATAAATTATTTCTTGCAAGTATTTTAAAAAAATATTTTTCGCCAGGTTTATTCAAAAAAACTAAATGAATCTAATTCTCTTTTGAAATTGTTGTTGAAATAGCACCGAAACACTCCAGAAAATAATCCCTCAGTTCCATTCGAATTCACGGAAGAAAATTTGCAGCGAGCAAAAGAAATTATATCACACTATCCACCACAATATAAGAAAGCGGCTGTTATACCTTTATTAGATTTAGGTCAACGTCAATTGGGTTGGACAAGTATTTCGGTGATGAACACTGTATCTAAATTATTAGAAATACCTCCTATGCGTGTTTACGAAGTTGCCACATTTTACACCATGTTTAATCGGTACTTCTGTATTCTTTTTATTTTCATTTTCATTTTTATTTTATTTTTTATTTAATTTGAAATTATCACGAATAGAGAACCGGTTGGAAAATATTTTCTACAACTTTGTACGACGACACCATGTCAATTATGTGGTTCAACGGAAATTTTAGAGACAATTCAAAATCATTTGAAGATTAAACCAGGTGAAACAACTCCTGATAAATTAATTACTTTGGTAGAAGTTGAATGTGCCGGTGCTTGTGTTAATGCTCCCGTATTGGCCATTAATGATGATTACTATGTATGTATACTCAAATGATGTTTTTGACGATTCTTTATTGATTCTAATACTTTTTATTTTTTGTGGTGTAATATAGGAGGATCTAACACCCGACACGACTATAAAAATATTAGAATCGTTAAAACGAGGTAATTTACCAAAACCTGGACCACAAACCGGTCGCCTTACTTGTGAACCTAAAAGTGGTCTTACTTCCTTGACGAGTGAACCGTATGGTCCTGGTGATTTTGTTAGACCTGATTTATAATTTTATAATTTAACACTCAACGACTTGAGCGCCATCATCAACAATGTCTAATACTTTTACAATCACTTGAATATCATGTTTTAAAAAAACTTTTGTTATTGTATCGGAAATCTTATCAAAATGATTAGTAGCTAAAGCTAAAATTGTTGGTCCCGCTCCGCTTAAACATATGCCTAATAATCCCGGATGTGATGTCGGTTTTACACTTGATAAAATTTCTGATAATCCCGGAATCTTTTTAAAAATAAATTAAATTTATCGAAAGTTAAAATTGTTCAAACGTATTTTAACTACTTTCTACATCAAGAAAGTCAACTTACCAAATGTTTACGGTAAGGTTGATGTATCTTATCTTGCATGGCTTGAAATATTAAATCAGCATCTGGTGGTGACTGTGATAAGGCAGTTGTCAAAACGGCTAATCGTTGTAAATTAAATACCTGAAAAAGAAATTCATAGTATCAAGTTTTAATGGATTGAATGAAGAAAAGGAGGAGGAAAACTTTTTATAATACATTACCACATCCTGTCTATCATAGGTTGGTGGTAGCGCATCTCTAGCGGTAGCCGTAGCGACTTCAAATTGAGGAACGATAGTAATGGCTTTAATCTCTTTAGCCCAATTTAATCTAATATAATGTCCTATTCCTTTAGGTACAATTGGTATCAATTCTTCTTGTCCATCCTTTGCCTTATCTTCATTATTGTCGGGGATTTCACGTTCCAAGGTTTCAGAATGAGGAATAACAGGAGCTTCAATATCTTTAGGATCCAATTCACGTAAATAAGAGGCAACAAATCCACCCATCAAGGCGGCGGTAACATTATCAGGATGTCTCTCGATCATTAAGCAGTAATCCAACAATCTGTCTTTAGTCAACCCAAGTTCTCCTGCTACGTTCCCTAACATTACGCCAGCGACAACCGCTGCTCCGCTGCTACCTAAACCTCTACCGAAAGGAATTTCGTTATTAACATGTATGATCATTGGTGATGGAAATCCGTGGATATCATTTGAAGCTAATACGTATAATGCCGTTTTTGTGATTAAATTTTGGTGAATGGATGAAGGTACGTGTGAACTACCTTCTCCACTATAAGTTAATGTTATATCTTTATTGTAATTTGACAACTCATGATGTTTTGGTAGAATGTCAATGGTTAATGTTAAATATAATGATAATGTAACTCCAAGTACATCAAAGCCTGGTCCTATATTTGAAGAAGAAGAGGGGACTCTTATTTGAATCCTTTTTTGATGAACCATTACGTTTAAAACAAGACAAAGTTTTAATCGAGGTGAATTAAAAAAAATTTTTTGATTATCGTTTATTTTTAAGATTTTTTAGATCAGATAAGATAAACCTTTTTTGTAGCAATATAGCAATGATGTAATATATGAGATTGGTGTTCTATTTCGAAGACTAGGCCCCATTTTCTTAGTTCTTCGTCTAAAAGTATTTACCTCAAAAGAAGAAATAAAGAATGGGTGAGGTATTTACATTATTTTTATCGTAAATAATTTTATTAACTTATTCTATTATCATTTATTATATATAAACACTATTTTTATTTTAAAGGAATTACAAGGATATTTTGAAAAGTTATTAACAAGGCAACTTTCCCTCTCTTTTCTTTTTGTTGTTTTTTGTTTATATTTTATTAACCTGACATGGTAATCTTTTTAATAGAATAGAAGGGTTGAAAGCTGTAACCGTTACAGATAGGGATGGGGTTATATTGATCAAATGTAACTTGTATTATTTCTTTTGAATTCCAACCGTTCATTTCTCTTTTGCATACCTCTAACAAAGACCCTTTCTTTTATGAAAATCAAATAGCCGTATCAAATGATGTATCACAGAGAGTTCTGGAACCAGCATTATCAACAACATTCGCTGTAATAAGTGATCAGGTAAATTACAGCATTCTCTTTTTTGGCATTCAAGTAAAAAGTTAATTCTCTACTTTTCATTAAGGCATCCAAATTAGGATTGAAAAAGAATAAATCCATTGTAAGTTTGTTTGGAATTTTTCAAATTGTACAATTTAATCATACACCTTTAATCACTACTTTGGTTGCTGATTCGGATTCTAATACTGGTAAGGTGGTTTATATCTCTATCATTCTTATTTTTTCAATGAGAAGATAAGAGAATATTGATACCTTCATTTAATTTTAAGGAGTGTTGTTGGATCTTGGTGATGAATTAAAGGAAATTACGGATATAATTTCCTCTGCATTATCTGATAGGCAGGTCATCTAGCGAGATTATTTATAATTATTCACACCTTAAGTTAATACAATAAATTTACTACAACATTGAATATATTTGACTTTTATTAATTACAATAAAAAAAAACAAATTCCGTTCCTTTTTATTTTTTTTTAATCCTATATTTGAAAACATTAATTAATTAGAATAATATAGCATATGTCAAATCGAATATATGAAATATAATATATTACCATACGAGTTTTGAGGGTGCGAGTGATGACTCGATCTGGAGTACTAGTGAATTGAAATTGTTTTAAAAAATTGTGCGAATCAATCAATCTATATTTACCATTACAACTTACATTGTGTGAATAACAGCGCCCCATCCCACTAAGGAATTTCTATCAGCGGCACTCAACAAAGCCTGTGATGCTGTTTCGAATAACTCATCAGGTTCTAAATCAGGCTCCCATAAAGATTCACACATTCCAAATAAAGCAGCTTCTGCACATCCAGCAACAGTAAAATCATCTGGATAATTAAGACATCCTATCAAATCCATTCCATAGATATGTGGTTTATTATTTTTGTCAAGACCGGCAATTATTGGCTCACAAAAATACGGGCCAAACCTATTTTTCAAAAAGAAATACAAAAGTTTAACCAATTTATTATGATGATTATTATTATGTTTATTATTATTTTTTTTTTTTTGGACGTTGACATTTACCTTCTTCCGTACAATGTTGAGGATATCATATTTGCCAATGTAAGTGGTTCGATTTCACGTTCTTCACGTAATTTATACATGTTACATTTTAAACGAAATAATTCCGATCTAAAATAAAAAGAAATGATCAATCATTGATATTTTCATCTGTCGAATTTGCTGATAATGATTGATATTTACAAAGTTTGAACATCAGTAGCTAAACCAGGAAGTGCAATATAACATTTTTCTGTAACCGGAAATACTTTTTGGAATTCAGTCGATACAGTAAGATTTTGCACTCCAAGGCGTTTATCAGATCCAACGACAACACAATTCTTCCCAGCCATGGCTAGGACAGTCCCACCATTATAATCCATAATCGACTATAATTCACGATTATTTAAAAAAAAAAAATACTTCCATTAATAAACAAACAAACGAAACGAAACTTTATAAAGCTTTGAAGAGAGAAGCAAATCCTTTACCATGGTGACTAAATTATTTCTTGATATAAATATTTATATATGAAAGAGAAAAAGTTTTTCGAACAAAAAATTTTGCCCTTTGTTGTAAGTCAGTTTTTTATTGGTATCCTGATTGTAGATCATCAACAGCGTAATCGGATTACGTTTTCAATCGACGGCTAACACAAATTGGAGATATCAACGCGGGCTCGCTTTAAAAAAAAAACGCTAATGGAATACATTTCAAGTAATTTCGTTTTCCACCCGTCGTCATTTCTCTCATTTTCGAATGTTTAATTAAAATTGATTCTTCACATTTTTAGTTCTCTCTGAGCATGAACGGTTGGCCGAAGACATTTTAACAAATAAGCAATTGGTATATGATTTACTTATTTTATTTTAAATTCTCCTTGCTAACACCAATTTTTTCTCTATTTACAAGTTTATCGATTTTTCAAGATTATAGATTATGATAGAACTAGAAATACCAATAGAGAAGCGTTAAATATTCTTAAGAAAGAACCTTTAAAATCTCAAAAAAAAGTATGGGTAAATCTTGGCGAGTTCTTTATCAAATTGGAAAAAGATAATGTTAAATCTTATATCGAAAAAGGTTCGTCTTCATTTTCTAATTGAATAATTTGTTTAAACTCATTATATAAATGGAAAATTTCTCATTTTTATAGATCAAACGAATCTTGAAAAAGAAATTTCTTCATTAAGAGATACAATAAAACAAAAAACTACCGAATTAGAAAAATCAGAAACCGGCGAAATTAGCAAAATGAAAGGATTTGAATTACAAGGCATTTCTGCTAGCGATTTATATAATATTACTGGTGTAAATAAAGAATTTGATGAATAGTTTTCTTATTGATCATTACATATATATTTGAAATAATTCAATGAAATATTTAATTTATTTATTTTTGGATAAAGGTTAATTTAATACATTATTTATAAATAGAATAAAAAGAATGCAGTTTTTATTAACGTTAATATAAAAACTATAAAAAATTCTCTAGCTTTTTTAATTCAAAGAGTCTACCGGGACATTTCTAATTTTTTCAATAATCCTTTTAAACTCTTTCCGTTCTTTTCACAATTTTGTATTAAATACTGTTCAAATTCCTCACGAATATTTTTCAATTCTTGCGTAATTGGCATTTGTCCATCTTTTTTCACTAATAAAGGATTCAAAAGCAAATCAAATAACTTTTGCCAAAGTTCTCCTTGCCAATATCGCTTAAATGAAAGTATTGGTTTATATCTTTTCACCGCCATTGTTGCTGGTCCGGACATCAAATTATTCGATTCTGCTATAATTGGAGTAATTTGCATATATTGATTATGTAGCATACAATGTACAACTCCGGCCAGCCCATAATAGTCGGCTTGCCATTTCCAGGGCCTACCCTCACGCATTTCAACGCAATCATGATCGTCCGTTACCCACTCGGCTATGAATTTCATATCATCAGAAAATAATGTCACGTCAATAGAACGCCCAAAATCAATCAATTTTATCCCTTTCTTTGACCACCCATTCGTTCCAGATGGATCATATATTGATTCCCATTCTTCTATTGGTTCCAACCTCAAAATACAGTTATCTGCTTTGATATCACCATGTATTATTCCGGCCTGGTGAATTGATTCCATTGTTTTCAATAGTTCCACTGTAAAGAAAAATACCAAAAGTTCATCCATCTGCGAGTTATCCTTTTTAGCTTTATTAATAGCATCCAAAATCGTCCCTTGGTGACAAAATTCCATCACCATATAACTTTCGTCCTTGTAACGATACAAAGAATGTACAGAAATAATAGAGTCAATAGTCGGAGAGATAATTCTTTCTTGTAATTGTCGTATAATGTAAAATTCCCAGGCACTTGAAGGTGTTTCGATTTTTAATGCACGTGATGATTTCTTTTCGTCCTGATCACCTGCAAAATCCTTCATATCCAAAACACGATAGATTTTCCCGTATCCACCTTCGTCAACTTTTTGGCGTATAAGGAACGAATCATTAAAGAATATGACAGGTTTATCATCGTTTACCAAGGCATTTGTACCTCGTCGGCTTTGTACTTTCCAAGAACGCGCAATTTCTTCTATCTTTAATCCATGATTGAAAGTATGTGACCGAGCATCATAAAATCCTTTATAACGATTTACGGGTGGTTGAATGGCGGCCAAAAATTGTTCAATGACCTTACGGTCAAGTGGATTACACGGATTTGAAAGCTTCGGAAAAGTTTGTGATTCCAAAGGGTCGTCTTCTGTAATTTCTATTGGAGACATCGAATCAGCCCTAGTATCGCCGAATCCTGATGAATTTGTAAAAGATTTTACTTCGGTGAGCACATGCTTTTCGAACTCATGTGATGGAGTGGTATTTGTTGTTGCTGTAATAGTATCAAAATTCTTCGATTTATTTTCACAATTATTTTCAACTTCCTCACGCCCATCAATTTGCGAAATCTTTGATGGTATTTGAATATTATTACTCTTCGTTATTTGATTATGAACAACATTAGAATTTGGAGAGACATTTTCTTCATCAATATCATGATTTGGAATATCTTTTGATGGTTGAGTAAATGTAAACATCCCTATTATGTCTGATAATGCAGCCTTTGTGCATATAGTCGGAGATGGTTTTTTGACGATTTCATTCATATCCGACGCTAATATTTGTATGAATGTAAGCGTATTTCAATTGCAAAATATCAATTTATAAAAACCTAAACTTACATAATCGATTTATCTTGTGAGCTGGTATAATGTATTCGTCAATATCATTACATTCTTTTTTCCTTGGTTGAATTATTGTGATCTTTTCATTAACTGGTGACTTAGCCTCTGTTACAAGATGTTTCGTTTCTAAAGTGTTTTCAATATTACAGCTCATCTTTTTTTTATCATTTATATTCTTCTCTTGAGGTTTCAAATAATTAAACTTGTCTTCAATTAATTTTACTTCTAGTAATTCCAAAGCCTTAGCTCTCTTCTCTTCAAAGGAAATTTCACCGTCATTTTCATCATAAAAATCATTAATTTTTATATTCCATCTTTCTTTCTGTCCTAGTTCATATCGTTTAACCTGTTTTTGTATTTTCTCTTGAAATGTCGTTTCTTTTTGATTAACTTGTTCTTTACCTTGGCGAACACTTGTTGAACCATGTTCAACAGACTAAAATAAATGAGTAATGTAATTATCACAATAGTTCAGTATAAATATGATGATGAGTGTTTCACAAACCTTATCGTGATAAACTTCAAGCTTAGCAACCATCGGCGTGTCAACCTTTTTATTTTGAGGTAAGGTCACCCCTCTCCATTGTTCTGCTTCTCGAATATCTTCTTTTTTCCTAGTCAAGTATGTTCCATAATTATTCCATGTTGAAGTACTGCTATCTGTAGATGTTAATGCAGCATTTCCTACTTCACCATTAGGGTCGTAGAAAATATCTAACTTTCTACTATTATTGTTAATATTTGAAATAACACTTGTACCCCCAACATCGGAAACAACTTGTGAAGTTGGATTCCTTTGATGAAAGACATTCATTGGTTGTGATTGGGTAGAGGATGCTGAAGATTTGGAACCAAGGATAGTTCGCCGTGGATTCAGATTTGATTGTGTTACTGAAGTATTAAAGTTTACGCCATTCGACGCCATCCGTGTTAGAAATTGCTTGTAACGCTTATTCAGACGTCCAAGTGGCTGTGCCCTTCGACTTATCCCCGTTTCAAAAATTTCATTCGCTTCTTTAAAGCTTTTATTTCTTAAAAAATTAGTCTTTATCTATTTAAAAATATATACATAGAAAAGGTTATCTCACCATTTCATCTCTTCCATTAATTCGGCATATTCCTCATAATAAGTGGCCAAGTCTAATCCAATTCCATTAGATTTTAAGAACGCAAAATGTTCCTTAAGTCTTCTAATATGTTTAGAATACTGTAGCCAACACCTCAAATATCTAGGATCATTTTTATATCGCGCATCATTTATAAAACTATTTGATGCCCGCTCCAGAAGTTGACACACTTTTGAATGAGGACCAGACGCTTGTGGGTAATTCTCCATTGTCCATTTTATGTAACGATCGTAAACATCAAAAGGATCATCAAGCTCGTCAAGATTTTCAAGTTCCGCATTAAACTTGTCATGACCAGCTTGAAGCTCTGTATAAAGTGCAGAAGGCTCACTTGAAAATATTTGGGACAAAGCAGCTGCACTTCTACCTTGTTTTACTGGTAATATATTTTCTTTTTGGTGTTCAAACGATGAGAACTCTGGAATATTTTTTTGATGTTGAAATTCCTTGTTATTCATCGTTACATGTTGAGCATTGCTAATAAATTGTTTTCGTTCCATGTGATTTTATTGTAATATGGATGAAATGTTTTTCGTTATAATGACTCAACCTCCCAAGAATTTTTTTTATACGTCACGCGTTATTTTTTGGGAACATTAATAACATTGAATATTATTGGCTATTTAAAATAAGGCACGTGATTTTATATAAATAGAACCCGGTTTGTTCAAGCGTTTGTATCGATTTCATTTTTTACGGGAATTTTTTTTTTTTTTTTTTTAGGGGTGTGAAATCATATTTGGGAGGTAAGCTATTAAAATCACGTTACGGATCATATGATTTACTATGTTGGTAACTTGATTTTAATAGCAAACCT